GTCCTCATCAGAAACGTCCTCATCAGAAACGTCCTCATCAGAAACGTCCTCATAGAAATGGCCCTCAATGGTCTGGCGCAGCTCGCCTGTACTGGGATCCCAAAGCTTGATAGTCTTATCACTAGAGCTGGAAGCCAGCAGCTGGCCATCAGGTGAGAAGGTGATGGACAGAACCCTACCAGAATGGCCCTCAAGGGTCTGGCGCAGCTCGCCTGCGCTGGGATCCCAGAGCTTGATGGTCTTATTAGCAGAGCCGGATGCGAGCAGCCGACCATCAGGCGAAAAAGTGACAGAGTCAACTAAACCAGAAGTGCCCTCGAGGGTCTGTAGCTCTGCACTCCATGTCTCCTCAACCTTCGGTAGATGGTACCAGTTCGACAACTCGTACTCAAACATTCCTCTAGTGATTGAGTTCCTTGGACAAAAAATAAGTCCTGAGGAATAAAGCTGAAGAGGTGCAATCTCAGCTAACTGTCGATTTTTAAGGATATATCGCTTTGTATCGTCAAAGAACTCTGATATTTTAGGATGTCCATCCTTTGTACTTCAGCATTCATAAGCACAGTAAGCTCACCAACACTTACTTGTATCACTGACTGGAGCCTCTTAATAACTCCAACAACTTCGGTTATAAGACCCAAAACGCTCATTGCTTCCACCCAGTGCAGAAAATGTATGTTAAGGAATGAGAAACCCTTGAGCAACTTAATGACTGGATCCGGACTCTGTACGAGGTGCTGTGCCCAATAACGGCAGGCGTATTGTAATTCGGGCGGCAAGTTTTGATCAACTGAACGTAGATTGATCTCACTTCGTTGTGTACTGTCACATGGTAACTTGCAGATATTCTTGCACAAACTACAGCTCATGAGCTCAAAGCATCGGTCGGTAAGGGCTCCGTGTATCTCCTTTTCATCAATCCACAGAGGTGTCTTGTCGCGCGTGTCCAGGTCCAGCAAGAAGTCACGGAATGATAGATGAAACAGTCTCACCGGCTTGGTCTCATCATCTGGCACGGAAAGAACTGAGTGAAGCAAATCTAGCCTGATAGAAATAGACTCCTTTGGAATATCAGCAAGTCTTGAAAGGGAACTAGCTGGAAGTGGAGTCTTGAGTATAAGAATTATTCCAATTAACATTTGATACTCTCGGATCAATTTTAACTTCCTTGTCCCGTTTTGGTTGACCAAGAGCCGATTGAGCACAGGTAGATATGTCCCATCAAGATTGGACTTGTCATTTTGATGTGAGAGAATTTCTTTTAGACTGTCTGCTGGGTGCCACTGAGGATCCTCAAGTATACGGCACACTGTAGCAGCAAAGATAAATAGGGGAACTGACATTGTGACCAGAGTTGCTATATGCTGATTTCCCGGCCAGTCAGGGGGGAGCTCACACCGTCGTTTGATTAATTTCTTCTTTACTTCGTGAATTCTGTGCTGGAGGAATAGGGAAATATCGCGTTCGATTATACCCATTGGAATCTCATGAAGAATCAGATCCTGGTGCACATCAGCAATACCCTGAAACCCAAGTCGAATCGGCAACTCAGGTCTGCTTGTCAATAAAAACCGAAGTTGAAATATACTTGACTCCTTGACTTGTGGCAGGAGCTTAAGGATAAGCTGTATGTCGGTTTCCTGCTCGCATTCATCAAGTGCATCAATCACAATCACTCGGGTTACAGTTGTAGTCAGCCCGTGGTCCATATCAAGCAGTGGCTGGAGGAGAAGTTTCTTGAACTGTTCACTAAGGACCTTCTCCGAGATTTGGGGGTCATCCTTGATTGCCTTTTGAATACAAGGGCGCAGTTGAGGTATACTGTTCACTAATTGTGCTATAAGAGTTGGAAATAGTTTCCTTGCACTCCCTTGATCCTCCTCGCCCCTCTTGAAGAAAAAGCTCGCTCCAAGTAGACCTTTTTCACTCAGGCGGCTTGCAACTGTTCGAGAAATTGTTGACTTTCCAGTACCTGCCTTACCATTCAGCCAGAATATATATTTCCCACCTTGTAAGATTGACCACTCCTCAAGTCCGCGAAGCAGCTCAACCCGGGTTCCTGGGAGACATTGTTCATGCTGATTCTCATAAGAATCAAACGCTGCCCCCTGCGCTATTTTCAATTCTCTAAGTTCAAGCGTTTGTTCAATATATTTGGTTGTTTGATTTGACACACTAAGTGTTGTGATTAGTTTAGCGAAACGCTTCAGAGCCAGAGGACAAGTACCATACACCTGAGCATCGCGAGTTTCGGTTGCTATTTTCATCAGACTCTCTACCCCTTTAACCAACCTGCTGTCTGTCTCTGCAACTCCTTGACCGTCAATCTTGCGTAGGAGGACCCTGCAGTAGGCAGCTGCAACAGCCGCAGCATAATAATGCCAGCCATCTTGCTTATGCGTGTCGGCATAATCACAAATTCCACGGACTATCAGACAAGGGATTTCATCCATAATTCCAGCTGCCTCCATTTCAAAACAGATTGCGTCTTTGTATCGTCGCAATTGATCACGATCCTGAGGATTCTTGATAACACTATTCCCAGAAAGAATGAGGCCCCGATGAACAACAGGTTGGCGAGTCGCGCGGACCGGACGGGATACAACTTTCCTTTTATTGGAACTCTCACAGGCAACACAGTCATAGCCCTTAGTAACGTGGTCGAAATCTTTGTCATACAGGATATCAGTGGTGTCTGGAGCTGAAAATTTAGATATTTTGGTAATCCTTCTCAAAGTTCTCTCAATCGGGCTCCTATCCATCAACTCCTCTCCCGCCAACCAATTATCTGCACTAATCAGAATCGGTGGGGGTTTAGTCAGGCATCCCTTCAAAACAAACCCCTCTCGCTCATATTTGCCGAAATCATACTGTATAACACCGGCATGAGTGCCCTGAGGGATACTGACGGCAATATCACCCAGCCGAATATCATGCTTTGGGAGGTTGGGAATGCCGGCTCCAATCCCAACCATCAAGGCAAACCTGACATTCGGAAACTGTTGGCTAACTGCTGTTGCACAATGCGCAGCCGCAACGGTGCCCATCTGATGCGGTTGTGCTATAACTATCTTATGGTTCTTAATTCGGCCGAAAGAGTACACATACTTTATTGGGCCAACAGCTCTTGGACAGCATGAGTATTCCTCGTCCAGCATGTGCTTAACAGCAACAGCCTCATATACAAGAGCACAGAAGATGGCTATTGTGATACTCTCAGGGGATATCTCCTCATGCTTTTCAGGGCTGGATTCCTCATCTGTAGCTCCCCCTTGTTCAGACTGCTGAGATTGCTCTGGTATTCCAGATACCCTTCGAGTCGCGTGAGGGGAGAAAACCGGGGTATGAGACATGAGCGTCGGTTCACCAGGCAGTGGGGTGTTTTTGGATATTTTGCTGTCCTCATTCGGGGCTAGAGTCTTCCAGTTGAGGTACAGCAAGTAAGAGGGCAATATGAAGATAAGGGCGAGGAATAGAAACATTGTGAGACAGTCTAGAAGAGGTAGAACATTTCTCTCAGATATAATATGAACTTGTAACTTCAGATTATGATTAAGATTATATAAAGAAACTTAAAGCATTATAAGCAAATTCCTACCTTCAGCATATGTGTAGGAAATTTTCAAGATGGTGAGCTGAGCAGGCAAGAGATTTGCTTTTTCGATAACCCCGCACCCGACTCCAGCCCTAACTACAAACATGGGGAGAAACTACCCCAGTGGCACACATCATAGTCAGAAGGAAACCCGGATTAATTTAATCAAGAATGCGATTCATTAATTGAAGTACATCTTAACAAAGAGAGGGCCTCAAACATAATCCCTCCCCAAGCCATGACTGTGTCCATGCTCGTGGTTACTGTGGATCAAACTACTCGTATTTTAGTTTCTTTGCATAATCCATGATCTAGAACACTCTTAAGCATATGAAGGTACATGATTACTGTAGTGTAAATGTATGCTCATATGAAGGCCATTTGAAGCGCACTCAGTTTCATAGCTAGCGTCTTGGCTGTGGCGCTCAGAAAAGAGAAGAGTATGTTCTGTAGTGAAACTGGCGTTGCTGCCTACTATACCCGCCATGCCGGCTCTCTTGGATCTTAAAATTCATTTCGATTTCGGCCTTCATTGCGAAGGGGTAGATGCGCGGGACTGGGACTGCGCTGTTCTCGTGGACTTTTCGACGCTACCGAAACTTTCCAGTCTGACTATTTCCCACTTGTCGCTTGGTAACTTGATTTTCCATGGGAAATCAGAATCTGTAAAGACCTTGGAAATAATACAGTCAGAGAGTGAGTTGAGCGATAAGTTGAGTGATATTCTCCGCGAAATTGAAGCAGGACTGGAACAAATTATTGTGACCGACTCGTGGGCCAGGTGTCGAGCCCTAAATGTCGAGCTATCTTCCATCAAAAAGGTCCATCTGTATAAGTCAACCGGATTCTTCCCTTTTCTGCTCATGAACAAACTCCCTGCTTTGGAAGAGATTACCTGGGAACATCCCTTCTGGAGTGAGCCTCGCTTGTTTAAGGAACTCAAGGCCATTCGCAGCAATTTTCCAAATAATAAAAGTGACTGGGCGAGCATTATACAACTGACCAATAGTAATGGATCTCTGACTCTATTCCTGGATTTGGCGAGACGGCATCTGATCGACCCCTTTAAGCGCATAATAGGCTGATGTCATCCTCTCCACTTTTAACGTATTTCCCGGGCGAGCGGGCCACCTCATTAAAAATTTACGCGTTTTATTGCCTCACTCAATTCAACCATCAACCATGCCTCCAAAAGGGCGTCAAAATCCAAGAGACTTAGCTGAGCAGGAGGGAAGACTATTGCTTGCTATTTCTGCTTTAAAAAAGCAGGAGATTTGCAATATTCGCGAAGTGGCACGCGTCTATAATGTCTCTCGTACAACTCTCCAACGACGACTTAATGGAATCACTTCACGCGCAGAAACACGCGCAAACAGCCATAAATTAACCCAGAATGAAGAGGACTCGCTTGTACAATGGATTCTATCGCTAGATAGACGTGGAGCACCTCCCTGACTATTCCATATACAAGAAATGGCCAATATTCTTCTCGCTGCGCGCGGTACAGCAGCTATTCAGACTATTGGACAAGCCCTGCATCCCAGTGGCGAGGTTTGGGGATGATAGGCATCGGCATGTTCTAATCCAAGTGCATGATACGAAGCCCGTGTGGTTCGTAGGCAGTCGTAACCAAGAGCTGTTCCATTGTTACCCTCCGGCGCATTTCGCCTTGAACCCCGGCACTCAGAGGAGCGACTTCGACGCGACCATCCAGCGTTCAACAGTCTTCACTACCACTGTTGTACACCCCCGGCCAACTTGATCGAGCCGCAACAGCAGACTTAGGTTGTCTTTCTCATGGGAATGATATCTATGTTTATTAGAAACCCCATAGCTTGTATTACCGTCGAAAAATTTAGTCACTAGTCTTGAATGTAAGACCCTTCGTAATGATCAGGCAGCCTTATCAGACGACAGCCGCCTCGATCCCATGCCCTATTTAGAGAACATGCAGCGTTACATCTCAATGCCTCTCTTCAATACTGCCTAATCAAACACATAAGTCGTGTTCTTCGTCCTAATATATGTCGTTGTCTAGATATATCGCCATTTGGATCCGCAGAGTTATGTATATAAACCCTTCTCCTCAATTCTTCATCAAGATATCCTTAACTCTCACCCCATTAACCACTTCTCTGTTCTCACAGGGCAGACCACAGACCAAGTCAAGTGCGTTTCTGGTCCCCTTGGACAGAGAAAGACAGCTGACGTGCTTCTAGGATGAGCAGCACCGGTGTCATTTCCTGGGGGTGCCTTCGGTGTAGGCAATCCGCGTCGCGGAATTGGGACTGCTCCTTTGTTCCCTACGGATTGTGTGAGCAAATGGTGGCTTCAGCCGCTCGCGTCCTTCTAAACAAGCGTCGGGTTCATATATCTACATTATGCGAGAATTGCTCTACAGGGTTGTCAGAAGAAAAACAGGTGAGGCATATCCACAAACTTTACGATTCGGAGTATCATGAACCAACCCCGTGGCGACACCAGGTGTGGGAGGTGCAGCATACTATTTCAGAGAGCAAGAAAATCATGAATAGCGGGGAGGTTAAGCTTCACATATTTCTCACAGCCGCTACATCGCACTGAGTGGGCGTGCTGCTGGTGGCACCATGCGTTGGTTGAATGGCGGCCCATTACGTGTTTGGTCCCTTCAATATGGTCGTTGGCGTTCATGATGTAGCTTACGAAATCAATACCATCACGAAGCCTCGTAATGGACCGTAGGAAGGTAAAGCGGCCCGATCAACACATGATAACGGTTTAGCCGATAATAGGTATGGCTTGCGACGATCAAGATGGGCCCTCTGATGATCGAAATACCTAGGCTTTACCAACAGCTTCCGCTCATATGTTACGAGTAAGCACTCGGCAATTTCCGAAACCGTGCGATGATAGACCGAGGCCTCCGTCTCTTCCGAAAGATTACCCATTACCACGAAATTACCAGATGCCCACATCAAGATTGAATACCTGCATATTCTCAAGCCCATTTGGTGATATTCGCTGTCTCCAGCCCCCTTTAACGTTAAATGGGTCACTAATAAATATCCTTCGCCGGACGCGACGAAAATTCTGCTGATGATACCTTTCTCAACTCATCACCTCCCTCCACGGCGCTCAAACCGGAAGACAATACCCGGGGGACTGTGAGGGAAAGCATTTTGGCTGATGTTCTCCACGATGGCTGGCGCTCCTGAAGTTGGCCCACCGTCAAGCCCCAGCTGCGGGACCTTGGAACTCTACTTTTCGGGTTCCCGACAAGGCGTTCGACTGCAACATCTCGACTCCAGCGGAGTCGACTCCCACCGCGAGCAGTCCTTCGGGTATCGGCTTGCCCTTGAACGGAAGGAAGCTTTGGCGTGGCACCTAGGGGCCAGCTTGGTGAATGACTCATTTGAAGATGGGTTCAGGAAAGTGTTCGGCGCGTCTAAGCCTTCCTTGGTCGTGCCAGTCGATTGTGAGGTTGACGTTCCATCCCCCAGTTAGGTCGACGTCCTGCAAGATGTCGAACCTTCCAAGCTACAGTCAGATGTGATTAGTACCCGGCACTGTCTTGTGCGAGGGGTCACCGTTGGTTTGTCGGCTTCTGACTGCGACATTATCCGGTCTGGCTTGCTTCAAAGGCTTATCGAGCCTTGGCCGCACCCCCAGGACCTACAGGCGGAGGTCGAGGCAGTGGAGGCCACGCTCCGACGCCTGTCAACGTGGAAACAAAATGCACTGCAAGGTATGTCAATGGTAGCCAACACAGTGCTACCCCACGGATTCATCTAAGGCTAACCCGCCGTCAAAGCCCCGAAGGAGGACGAGGCCCTCGCACGCGGCTTGCAGGAACGCCTCATCTCAATGCGCAAAGGCGCGGTGTCCCCACCAGATATTCGAACTTCTAAAGGTTTTATAGAATCTTTAGGCAGGAATCTGAAAAAGACTTAGAGTAAAGATAAAAATCTAGTTTTAAGTACTCTTGATGGTATAAGATAGTTCAGGTACAGGGCGTATTCGACAGCAGAGCTACTATATTTCAGAATTGTTCAGAAGCACCTGTGGTGCTAGGACTTCTATGGTATTATGTGGCATATCTAGAGAGGACGAGGGTGGAACTTAGTGCATCAATATTTACTGTTTCACGTACGAATCATCCGGATGAACAATATAAAATAATACATAGAACCATTTACTTGAGCACTCCAGAGACATGAATACGATGAACTCAGTCCAAACCGAAAAGCATTTTACCCATTTTCTTCATCCCAGCGGGCAATAATTTGATTAAACCCATGATTTGGCAACATCTTCTCAGCAACCCTCGGAAAAAACGCCAAACCGCTTGCAAAAGGACCCTAAGAGAAGGCCTTCTGAGACTGACAATCCCGCTCGCACTGAGAAAAGCTTAAGAATATCCCATTCCGCGAACAAGCAGCGCAGCTGGCAGATAAAGGACACCAATTGATATACTTCGAAGATGATAGCTCAATATCTCCTCTTACTCCGCCAGATCTCTGAGAAGCCATTAAAAGAGAAAAGTCTCGTGTTATCGGGAAGGCGAGCTCCTGAGAAATGGTCGAAAGGGGAATTTTTCGAAAAACTGAACCCTATAAAACTGCGGACATCAATAACCATCTACCACCGGTGACTATCACCTGTGGCCATATTTTACTAGTAATTGAATAGTCAACTTTGCAGCCACAAAAGTAATACATTTGCCTTCTTCGTAATCCCGTTCCTGTCTAAGAGTTTCACAAGATTTGATTATATTGACAGTCGACCTTTATCTATAGCGTTTTCGTGGCGGCCGTGGGAGATTCTTCAGAGACTATGATCAGGCAGTTCCTTAAGGCGCTGTGTCATGTAAAAACTGCGAGCACTTATGGAATAGGTGGTGGCGCGTTAGAAGGTATATAAGATACAGCGGGGTTCGGCCAGTACAGTCTTTAGTGAAATCTGCTTCCACGGACGTAGTGTCATTCTACTTGTTCATGTATTCATTATCATGGAATACCACATAACGGCTAGCTTTGAATGTTGAGTATATTTGGAAAATATATATTATACTTCTATCAGTATATTGAAAGAAGAGAGATACATTATAGGGAGCAATAGTTCACTATTGCTTCAAAACGTTGTTAGAATGGTGCGATATATTTGCACTCCTGCCATTAGTCTTGACGCCGAGGGTGTTGCTGTCAAATCGCAAGTCCCCATCCAAACCAGCGCCCTTGTCTAGCAGAAGCTTCACCACTGCCTCGTGACGGAAGTTATAAGCCCATAACAATGGTGTCCAACCATCATTATCCTGCAATCCGAAATTAGCACCTTTGTCGAGTAGCAGCTTGGCGACAGCCTCATGACCGTTTCCTGCCACAGATAATAGTAGTGTTCTACCATACTCGTCTTTCGATTCAATGTCAGCACCCCTGTTGAGCAACACTTTCACAATCTCTTCATGACCTAGGCCAGCGGCCAATATTAGCGGCGTCTGGCCATCATCATTCCTCGATTCAAGGTAAGCACTCTTGTCCAGCAGTAGCTTTACTACCTCTTTATGGCCTTTCATTGCAGCCCATGATAGAGGCGTTGTGGTGAAATTGCCTTCAAAATTAGCGCCAGCACCTCTGTCGAGTAGTATTTCCACCACCTCTTCATGACCTCGCTCTACAGCCAATGATAATGGAGTCATGAAGCTGTTGTCTTCTGAATTTAGGCTGGCGCCTCTGTCAAGCAAGAGTCTTACCGCTTCAACATGGCCTTTACCTACAGCCCACAGGAGTGGTGTCCAGTCGTCCTTATCCGTTGATTTAAAATCAGCACCTTTTGTCAAGTAGTAGGTCCACCACGTCCAGAAAGCCGCGACCTGCAGCCCATGATAATGGCGTCCGGCCATGCTTATCCCTTGCGTCCAGGTCATGTTTTCTTTCAAGTAAGGATAACAAAAGCTTTTGAGGCCCAAAGTATGCTGCAAGGTGCAAGCCTGTCGTCTGTGTCTCACTGACAGTACAATACCTTTTATAAATCATAGCTTGGCTGCAAGCAGCTACCCTGGTGCTGCTTTCCAGAAAGCCCAAACCAATGGTCCACTATCAATCGACGATATGTATGCGGTTCGTTAATAGCATTTACCATGTCCTTAGATCAATGAATTTGCTTATCCTTACACCCAGCTATCTCGAAGCCCACACACGAGGGATCCGACATGTACAAAGACATGATATGCGGCTTCATAAAACCGGCTTCTTTCAGCGTAGCCTTAAAGTCAGTAAAGACACTAATCATTCACTCAGCAGGGTTAATGGCACTTTTTTTGAATTAAGGTCCATTATGCCAGCCTGTGCCTTTGAGATATCAGAGCAAGAGTCTAACCCAAGGGCGGTTCCTATAGTGTACGCATCGAATCTGAATTCAGACGAACGCCATTCATGTGGCATTCCTATTTTATTCTACCAAACGTTGACTGATGCTCACTTTGTCAAACAGTTGGCTTGAAGGGTATATCTGATTTGAGCGATCACCTCCTGAGTATCCTTTAAGAGCTCAAACATGAAAGGAACACCGCCCATCTTATTCTTGCGGCCCATTCTGTATCATACATTTTGCTACACTCTTCTACCTCAAAAAGGTCTATGCTTTTTCTTAGAGTTCTCGGTGACTGATCTCTGTGATCGACCGGGAGCCGCCCTCCTAGGTATATGTCCTGCAATCTGTATGTTCAATTCTTGCCCCGCAGCGATGAAAACCGATGACGCCCTCCTAACTTGAATAGTGAAAGTCAAAGGATCGCGTCCATCACTATTTACTGTTGAAATCCGTGGAAACTGTCAGTGGGTTTTCATCTGGCGTAGTTTCAACCCGTCGATTCTCGCTAGTATCGGCTCCTGGAAATGGAAGCTCGACCCACTCCAGATTTCCCCATTCTAGGGTTTCCAAATCTGTTTCGTATTTCTACCTGGGGCAGTCAGCTTCCTATATAGGGCTAGCGAGGCCATATGTTGTGTTCTCGTCAACAAAACTTCATCATTCTGTCTACCTCCAAGACTCAGGATCTATGCAGTGCAACCATCACTATTACAGAAGCCTCTGGCTTAACACATATTGGAATCGATCAATCTAGTGCCAGCTGATAGCAACAACGCAGAGAGCAACATGGGAGGCGTTTCGCGAGAGAGTGTTACGCGCCGCCAAGAGGCATCACCCATTCAGAAGGCAGAGACATCTCGCGCGGCTGTGTTGAGATGTGCTGTTGGCTTGTGATTTGAAACTTCGGATACGAGGCTCCGCTGGCGCTGATGAGGCAGTGCATTAAGTACGTCGATAACCCCCACTTGCTACCTTCACTCGACAGCACCACATCTAGGCCCCAGGTAGGCTCTCTTCCACCATTGCGTCAAAGCAAGACCTTGACGAGTATTCTGAATACGGAAATGTCCCAAGTTGGCTTTACCTTCCAGGGGGACGTCTTCACAGGCGGCAGTCTTGTCATGAACACCACCGGTCGTTTACTGAGGGCCCTCTCAGATGGCAATGTCGATGTTCTGGCGGTGGCTGCATCGTTGCAGCTTGGAAAGTCCATTCCAATCACTCGTACTCAAGAAATGATCGTTGCACGCTCTATGCAGAAACGCAGTGTCACTCGGCCAGGGATCTTCGTTAAAGCCTTGAGCGTTGGATGGGGTCATGCTGATGTTGCATACGAGCTATCCAAGACTCGAGCTGGGTGTGCCACCCTCTTACTCCTGAATGCTCTCTCGGCGGGCGTATCCACTTTTAAAGCCAGTGAAGGACTCCAGGAGCTATTAGTCTACTATGGGTGCACAACTGACACTTTGCCAACTGTGGACTCGTTGAATACGGTCGTGAAATACGTGGCACCCATTATGATAGATAGTGGATTCCATGCAATCATGGAAAACACACATATCGCGATTACTGTCGAGATGAAGAAAACTTTCAGTCTGCAGGAGTTTCAAAAATGGCAACCCGAGATCATGCAGGATTCAGTAGACATGAAGGAATGGGTCGATTCTGTTCGTCAATTATGCTGGTCTGCCAGTCGCAATGAATCCCTCCATATTCGGATCAATGGTCGAGTTGCCTGGATAGCAACATTTGCTGTTCAGATACTGGGCATGGGCTGCACAGTCATCTGCGGTGCTACGGCCTTATGGGAGACCGCTGGCAGGAGTGGAAAATTGGTCATTTGTTTTGGACCATCCGACATGTCGTCAAACACGGAGTCGTTGGCAGGTGCTCTTCGTTTCTCCCTTGAACCGAGGGATGATGCGGGAAAATTGCAAAGCATCCAAGGAAGATATCTACTAAAAGATGCAATTCGCTCTGAGATTGAAAAGTCTGCCAAAGTTACACCATCATTTTACCCTACATTCTGCCTTTGCTTTGTGAGATATTTTTCGCGCGTGCTTGTATGCGCTTCCGAGCGCCGCCAATTCCTTTCAATCGTCAGTGAAGATCAACGGCCCAAGGCAATTGCGAGGGTCTTGGGATACCTTGGTGTCGAGTTGACTACCCAATTAGAGGCCGCAATGCTGGAGTCACTGTCATCGAACAAAGCACAAGCGGATTTGCGCGATTTTCAATGCTTCAATGACCTCCGTGGAGATGTCAAACACTTCACAACGGATTTAATAGAAGCCGTGATCATGCTTGCCCTGTCGCTCATTTCCTGTCACATCTCAGCCGACAATTTCAGCATGCCTACTCTGCAATTAGAACGGATTGACGACATCGACAAGGAAGGCTGGGACGGTGGTCGAAGGCGTCTACGTTTCTCAAACAATTCTTGGCCCAATATAAGCCTGCCACAGATTTGGGGAACTCTCTGCGCTTTTTGCTTTTTCGGTGGATACCCTAGAAGGAAGCATAATTCGCGGAGCGTCGCCAAATCCGCCGACGGCATTACCCTATCCATCCGAATGTTGTTTGAAGATGAAGCATTCACTCGCGACGGCCAGATATTCGCTATCTATTCCGGTCAGTTATCATACTCCGGCATCCAGCGACAGGACGCTGTTTTTCCCCATAAGCAGCCTGATTGTCTCTCACTTAACTGGGACGAATGGGCGTTGGCCCCGGGCATTACTTTCAAACATCCACACACCCCGGCCTCTAGCATCGTCGACATTAGAACGACCGTTGCGGTCAGAGACGCATTGGAAATCGACACAGTCATCACCTTTGAAGACCAAAACTCGCGGCGTAACTATCTTTTCGACGCTCTCAGTGCCCTACTTATACTCACGAGAAACGGTGCATTAGCTGATCCTTGCCCGCATCCCACCAAGGACTCCTTTCCAGTTCCAGTCAGACCTGAGTCTGCTGATGGCCCCCTCAGGCCGGTTTCACCGTCTTCCGATCTTAACGGCTGGCCTTCCTTGTTCTCAGCGGCTATTCTCGCTACGAGAAATACAGTCTCCGACTGTATATTTCTGTGTCTTCCGGGGAAAAGTCAATTTCACCAACTGCTATCAATAGCGCTGAACAATGATAGGCATCATAGACTGCGACCGAGATTTGTGCTTCAGGAAGATGCATGCTTGTCATGTACTGTTTGTCTTGGGCGTGATATTGTGAAAGCAGACCAAAAGCTTCTAAAAACCCCCCTATTGATTATTATCTGCAACCCTGCTGCGTCAAGTACTCCACAGAATTTGGTAACAGCATCTTAGCACCAGATTTCTTCTTCATTATTTATTGTTGGGAGTACCGGTATGCTATTGGTTTGCAGTTGGCGAGGAATTGGGTAAAACGCTGGTTGTGGGAGGAACTCTAGCTAGAAGGAGGGGGAGGAAGCTTCAATCTCACTTTTATGTACATATACTCCTCGGTAGGAGGATCTGGTCGAGCTCACACGTGCTGAAGATCCATGCGTCAACAAGTCTACTGTCACGTGTAGACACAATCAATGATCGAATTACACGAGCTATGTTAGTGACCATTTGAGATGAATGTACAGCGAATATGCTTCAAGACTTTATTATGACTCATAAAGGACAAAGATGGCATACAGGCGGCGGTCGTCCTTGATTTTTGAACCTAAAGAAGTGGGGGATGATTCCGAAATATCTCCCTATAATAAGCTGCCTCGACTGTGCCTTTCTTTCTGCCAGGAAATCTAGTACTGATTTGGTTCCACGTGTATCCTCCATCTCTCAGTTGTACGAGATATTGTTCTAGTTCGGAAGAAAGTGGGCGGATTTATATATTTTTGTCTACTTATCTGCTGTATGAATGTACTGCGATAACTTTAACTCACAGAATTTGCCCTAGAATAAACTGCGTATAGCCTGTCTAGGATATTGAAGGCACTAATGCGCAGCGCGGAAAGACCACGCACAGCCATGGTCTTTTTGCCGTCACTAACAATTCGGAGAATAATGGCTGACTTCCAAAGAATATTCTATGCTAAATTCTTAGTTACATCTTACTAGGATCGAATCTCCGCTTCAAAGAACGGGCTTAGACTTAAGTCGTCGGTTTGTACTAAACGGCCACGCTCGTCGACCCGAGGCAGCTATAACGAATAATGGACTAAGTTAAGTCGCCCAATATAGAATATCTATCTGTTGCACAGTAGTGGGACAAACAGCACGGAGGTCAAGGTATGCAAAGGAGATCTCCTTGCCAAAGAATCAAGGCAACTTGGTGTGCTGCTGACGGTCGCGGCCTTTCGTAAATCCGATCCTTTGGGACACGTCAGCAGGCGGGGCAGTGGGTGAGTTTTAGGCGTGCTTCAGGCTACGTTCAGGCTGAGCGCTGTTTAGGGCTGAAGGGGCTGAAGGTAGAGCAGCAAGGGCGCTAAACCCAACAAATCAAAAAACATACAACAGCCGGGATTCGCTGGTGGTCACCCACCCAACTACTAACCGGCCGGCGTGTGGCTTAAGTACGGCTGAGCGGACGGGAAGCCCTGTTCTCCACACCCT